GGGGGGGGCTGGAGATGGCTCCGGGAATTGGGGATGCTGCAGTGGGGGACCAGCCCCGCTGTCCATACCCTCAGTGGGGTGCAAGGAGGGATGCTCACCTGCTTCTTCCCTGCCCAGGGAAGCCCTGCGCTGGATGCTCTTCACCATGCAGGCCACCGGCCACGTCCTGCTTGGCACCTCTTGTTACATGCAGCAGCTCCTGGATGCCACAGAGGAACCGAAGGAGACGGAGAGCAGCCCAGCGCTGCGAAGCCCCCTGCCCTGCAGCCTCCCACCCCTGCCCCGCAGGAAGACGCTGCAGTGAGGGTTGGGTGCCCTGTCCTGTCATGTCCGCCCCCCCTCCTCTGTCACTCCCACCCCACCCCTGGGGGTCCCAGCACCCTGCTAGGTCAATGCCGGGGGAGAGGCTGCCACGGTGCCTGGGACAGTCTCTCCTTGCACCCCACTGGCTGAGCGTGGCCAGCTCTTCTCTGTAATATCTGCTGCTCTGTAAATATATTTATTTAAGTAAAGCTCTGCTGCCTTCAGCTGTATTTCATCTCATCTTTGCTGGGGTGGGGGTGAGGGAGAAGGTTCAACCCCTTGCTCTACTTGGCGCTCTGGGGCTGTGCTGGGCAGTGGTGCAAGAGTGTGCAAGGAGGGGACCTGTCGCAAGCCTTCCCCAAGGGAGCTGCTGCCTTCATCCTCCTCCCTACCACCCCAGTGCCCTGGCACAGAGCTGGACACCCCCCCCCCAGCACTGCAGGCAAGCCTGGAGGAGGGGATGGTGCTGAGGGGCTCCTTCACCCCAAACCTACTTGCCTGTGGCAGCTGCCCCAAAGCCTGTTCTTGCTCCATTTAAAGGGATGAAAGCCACCCCTCCCCTGTGCCAGCAGCGGTCCTGCTGCTCTGGACCCCCATGGCACCACTGGCACCCAGAGCAGGGCTGGCACGGAGCCTTGGGGTGGGTGTTATAGCCCCTGGGGTCCCCGACCCCCCCAATCTTGGCAGCCCCATGCAGGGGGGAGCTGCTGCAACCCCAGCCTTGCACAACGCTGCGGGACAGCAACCTCCCCACAGCTCCAGGGCTACCAGACTGGGAAACAACCCAGAGCCTGGGGTGACACTGGGTTATACTGACCTGGCACTGGGGGGGGACCGTCCCCCCCACCATGGGAGATGGGGAGCCCAGACTGGGTCCTTCAAGTGCAAGCCCTGCCAGCCAGGGTGGGCAAGCTGGGATGGAGGGGAATGACCCACACTGCCCACCCTGAACGGTACTGGGAAGCATTGGGCGAGCTGTGGGCAGATGAGAAGCTGTGCTTAGGGGGATCCCCCCGGTGATGCACTTGCAGGGGACACTGGACCTGAGCCACGCTCACCCGGGGACCCCACCGCAGGGGTCTGGGGCTCCAGCATGGGAACAGCTACCGTGGCAAAGCCCGGAGCTGGGCTCGGGGCAGCACAGCCCACCTGTGGCTGTGGAGGCTTCATTAGCCAGATAATTAACAGAAAAATGTGTGACACCTGGGGTGAGGCAGGTGCTGGGGATGCCACGCTCTGCCCTGCTATCGCAGGCTGCCCGTGCCACCCCGGGGCTATACATACCCCATGTCCCTGTCCCCAGCCTGATACCCCCAACCCCACAGGGTGACGGTGGTCCCACCAGCTCCCGCAGCACCCCCCCACCCGCACGCAGGCGGCAGCCTGGCTTTATTAGACGTTATTTATTTCTGTACACGCTTATACACACGGTTCCCAGGGTAGTTTCGTCCTCGCCTTCTTCAGTGCTGTCTCCTTGCAGGGTCCGGTCTGCGGTGGGGGGCACCCACACGCTTCCTAGGGTGCCTGGGGCCAAGCCCAGCTGTGCCGGGCCCCCTCCCCATCCCTGTAGTGTCTACCTGGGGGGGGTCAGAGCCCCCTCCCGGCTGGGGCAGGGCCATGCACCTTCCCTCTGCCTCAGTTTCCCTGCGGCATCGGCCCTGGCTGTGGCAGGGGCAGAAGTAGGGGCTCTCCATGCACCATAGGCCTGGGGGGGCCGGCCCCCCCACCAGCACCACGCTCCCACCCCCCCCACCCTGCAGCGTCCTTGGCCCGGGACGGACGGGACCCCCAACCCGGGGGTCCTCCATCACCCCGACCCCTGCAAGGGGGTTGTGCTGGCCATCGGTTCTGGGTCCCCCAGCCCCTGCAGCCCCCCCCCAACCCGAGCGGTGGTGGGGGGCAGTGGGGGGAGGGGGGCTTTACTTGACGTGCTCAGCAGCATGGGAGGAACAATAATACTTCTTGTGGGCGATGAAGGTGGAGAGGCTGCTGAACTTGATGTTGCAGAGGCGACAGTACCTGTGGTTGCCGTTGGGCACGGGGCCGGGCACAGCCTTGGCCGGGGGGGTCTGCACCCCCCTGTCCGTGTAGGCGGGGGGGGGAGGGGGGCT